TAAGAGAGGCGGGGGGGGGGGGCGGTAAGGCGCTGATGTAAATCTATCACTGATGCAACAGCAAATCAGGATGCAAATGAGAACTGGGAATTTCTGGGAGAACAAGAGCTTTCAGAATTAGTCCTAAAAATGATTTATAAAACTTAAGAACTACAAATGTGAGGCATCATCACAAAAAAATGAATGGTGATCTCGGAACAAACCCAGCTTTTTCTATTTTTAAGAAAAGCCCACGGAGCTGAACAGCATCTACCAGCCAAAAAAATTAACTATTGGTTCACAAACTGGATCCCCATGGATTCAGGAACACACAACAGCAGCTTTACTTATTAAGCACATCAAACTGAAAATAACTAGTGGAAAAGAAGAAAGGACAGGAAAGAGAGAGAAAAAGAGACACACCAAAAAAAAAAAAATAGATTGAGAGAACATTAGCTATTAACATACTGCAAATGAACCAATTACTCACAATTTCTCTGTTACACAAGCATCCTTCCTAACATGGGTGGCTAATGTATTTATTTTTAGGAAAACAGTCACTGCCAGCAGTACCACAATTCTTCTTAACAAAAGTATTAAATATGAAGCCCAATTCTCAAAAGCAATGAAACTACGATTGTTTTATATGATGCTGTCTTTAATTCACTTCTTAGTACCCTCAAGAGAAATATTCATCCCAATTTTTACCAACACTTTCCGTTTATACACATCTTTTCCTCATGATAGGAGCTGAAACAGAGAAAGTGTTCCAACTGGCTGTAGAGTTACAATCCAAGTTTGAGACACTCCTAATTTATTAGATGTACTAAACTCTGCAAGGCTCCTTCTCCAAAGATGCAGGATTTCTTCTATTCCTTAACATTTACTTTTTGCTCTTTCATGGGGATTTAGACAAAACAGAATCAGCTGAAGCCCCAGAACCCCTAGCCTGTCAGGTTTTCTGCTAAAATTGGCAGCTACAAACCCAGTCAGGACTGCGGCAGCTGCAGAACAAGCCCTTTGAAGTGAACATAGCTTAGATTGAAACTGCTATGAAGAAAGGGAACAGCAGAGGATTCTTCTTTTTTATTTTTTAAAGCTTTTCCTCAGAAATATTCACCTACTACTATGTGGATAGAAAGAAAGCCTCTTCTTTTCATTAATTAGTAGTTGTTCTTTGTACGAGTCTCAGCCAAAGCCAAAGGAAACTTCAAAGGCCTCACTCATCAAATGTCATGGCTTGTGCTCAACATGAAACCGCCAGTTCTGATCTGGTTGCACAGCTATAGCTCACGCTGAGCTTGGGAGTGGATCCATATGATGAAGTAATTGCTAAGCAATCGTGTAACAAAAGAACAAACTTCTATTGAAAAGATTTGGCAAAGTCACAGCAGTGGGTTAGACAAAAACTTGAACAGTCTGGCAGCAGTACGATCCCAATACATGTTCATGCCTCACGTGACGTCATCTTCTTTACCCATTAGCTGTGTAATCAGTGGTTTATCTCTTTTGTTCGTTTGTTTTTTTAATGCCCTTATCTGCACATCTGATGCTTGCAACTTTAAAACAAACAAATCGGATCTAAGACAGAGTACTTAAGGCTGTGTCAGAGTTAAGGTCTGTATTTCATTTTCTGGTTATGCTCTGTAATGCAGATATTCTGTAGCCTTCTACTGCCACCAGTGTGGAAAAGGAAAAAGGTATCGAGCTAACATTGAGGGAAGAATAAAACAAAGAGGAAATGATTCATAAAGGAATGAAGCCAAGAGACTAACTATATCAAATATTAAACCAATAAAACCTCTGCAACTTACATTTTAGGAAAAAAATTGTAACTGGAATGCAATACAGAAAAAAGGAAAATAAGATTCTGCATAGATTTTGTCAGAATAAAAAAAGATCTGCACGCTCAGTAACCAATGTAATACATCAAAATTTGTATTAGTGGTATATATTTGTGATCTATCAGCTACTTCCTGGTAAATACTTCTTGCAAACCCTTAAGGGGCACAAGTTCAATTCTACATGACTTTTTTCCTCTTCACAAAGGCTTTTAAAACAATATTAGGCATGAACAAGATTATTCATGACTAATTTGGAAGGATTATTCATTTTTAATAAGCTTGGTTTGGATCTCTCCCAATGATACCAAAAAGAATAAACCAGGCTGTGCTAGCCCCATCTTTCCCTAGCTATTTTACGTAAGAGCGCGATCCAGGGTGTCAACAGCCATCACATTCCCAAAAGGCACAGAATGGTTTAACTAACACTGAGGAGATTAAGAATATGCACTCACGTTCTTTCATTCAAGGGTCGTTCTTATATTAATTTGGGACAATCTGGGTAGTATCTATTCAAAGATCACATAATTTGTGAAGTGTTCTGACTTCTTAATACCCTCGGAAACAGATGTGTGTAACATTTATAATATCGTTTAAATAAAACCACAGTAACTAGTTCTTGCAGAGCAGACCCTCCAAAACTGCATTTTTAAAAAGCATTAACATTTTTAATTAATAAATTCACTTGAAGCTATAATTCTTGAATTTGTTGTAGCAACACAGATCTGTCATACCAAGAGGTACTGACCTCAGAATTCTGTTTAAGGAATTTGTTAAACACTCCACATCACTATCTATACAGCTAAATTACAATTTTCCAGCACTTTTCTACAAAGTCCATACTTTCTTCTCCATTAAAAATACACTCTATAAACTCTTCCAAAGTGGTAACAAGAAACTGAGAATTGAAGTACTTTTTTGGAAAATCGTATCTGAATGTAGTGCAATGAATAACTTACTGTTTTACACGAGACCACTTAAAAATGCTCATGATGTTACAGACATGAGGCAGTATTCCATAAGCTGCTGCTGTGTGCTTCCATTCCTAGGCGTACACGTTCTCAAAGACTCTCTCAAGCTCCCATCCCTTCCAATTTCACAGATTTAAGTTAACCGGAATCACCATGATAATGTAATACAGCTTTCATTAAATATCAGAACGTTTCACAAGGATAATATTCCTCTCTGTGCATGAGTGCCCGTTTCTCAACATTGCTTCCATGTGTCCAATTCAGTAGTGTGTCAGATACCTAAAAACCCCTCATATATTGGCACCAAACTAACTCAAAAATAAAAGCTGAAAATCCCAACCAGTCATTTCCTGTTTCAGAACAGTAAAGTCGTCCAAAACCTGTTTCTCCTTTTAGTTGTCCACAAATTAGAAACCCACATAGGTTAAGTTTTCATCATGGTTTCTGACTGGCAAAATGTCTGTTATTTGCCAAAAGCTTTTTTTATTCTTCAGAGAAAAAAAACAAATTTAGTGTCACTAAATACTACTCTAAACTAAGGAGTCACAAAATTAGCTTAAGATATATATAGTTACTACTAACACACATGATACAGATAAAAATACAGTATGAAAATAAAATATGAAATACACTAAACCGTGTAGGGTATTTTTAATTATGAGGACCAGAGTTACTGTTATCTTTAGAATAGAATAGACTGTTTCAGTTGGAAGGGCCCTACAATGATCATCTAGTCCAACTGCCTGACCAATTCAGGGCTGACCAAAAGTTAAAGCATGTTGCTAAGGGCATTGTCCAAATGCCTCTTAAACACTGACAGGCTTGGGGCATCGACCACCTCTCTAGGAAGCCTGTTCCAGTGTTTGACCACCCTCTCAGTAAAGAAACACTTCCTCGTGTCCAGTCTAAACCCTCCCAACTACTTTAAAATTAATGACTGCTATCCACTAACTTGTTCTTTGATTTGAGCAACAGTGAACAAGGTAGACAATAATTTACATAAATTTATGAGTTGAAAAATATTTCATCCCTGGTATAGCAAACTATTTCAATCCTTTTTTTTTTTTTTACCCTCACAGAGGACAGTGTCATGAAACATAAAAGATGCAACAGAAATGGAAGTACAATGCTAAATAAACTCTACAGTACAAGCACATCTTCCTTTACATGTTCCCAATAGGTGGCAACAGAATACCAAAAATACAAAGCAGTTTGTAATTCTTTCTTCATCCACAAAGTAATGGAAGCCCCGTTACAACTTCTATTAATGAACTTGCACCAGCAGTTTTATTCAAATGAATTGTTGCCTCTCAGCAACAGAAATTCTCAGGACAGTTAATGTCAAAAGCCAGAGAATTCACAGAACAGAAACAAAGTATTTACTAAAAAGCTAGTTGTTATGAAACAACTAACTGACAGCTTATACACAGAGCTTATCTGAGGGAGTAAGCTATTACAAGCAGGAATTTACAGTAACAAAATATTTCTGCATATTAAAGACAAAATGTTAAGGAAGAAAGAAAATTCTAGACTGATTTTTTTGTTGCTGACATCCACACCTTGGTCTTTAGCAGTATTTATTTACAAGACTGAATAAAGGGATGAGCATTTTTAAACAAAGTTTTCAGCCGACAAACCCCAACTTTATCAGTAGTAGCAGGTCCATACTAACTCCCTGATTCTTTGTAAGGAATGACAGGAAATCAGAGTTCTTCTTTCCTTGACAGTTATACAACTATTTTGTTTCTGTGGCACAGAGCTATACAAATCAAGTCTAAATAATGACTACTTACTTGCTTTCAAAACCAGCTAGGTCACTGTCCAAAGAAATTGTCTCTGTTGTAATTTCCACCTTTCTCACACTGCCAAAGAAGTCTGTTATCAGAACATTTTGCGGGTCTCGCTGGAAGAGATCAGTTCGGTGCCCAGGCGTGGAAACGCACAAACTTTTTGGACAGACCTGAAACTGGAAACCAAGATGGACAATCATATCCTGTCCCTCATTCATCAATAGTCTCTACATATACCTTCCAAAATGAAATCGCTATGAAAAGAAAGATAAATGCCACACATAACTTGCATTAATTTCAGTACAAACTCCACAGCTGAAAAAAAATGATTGAACAAAAACATTACAAGGCATAAACATCTTGATTATGCATTTCAGAAAACCTTTATCCTCAGAATTATGCCATTTGAGTTTAGAAATGCTTCTGTGAAAGCCAACCATCAATTACATCTAATTGATTAAATGCACAAATGTATTTCTGAATATAGATGCAGCAATGCTGCTATAACCTTCCAAAAAGCACAAGTGGGTATAAATTCTTCATATTTACCAAAGGGAGGCAGGCAAGATTAAACAAGCCTTGGTAAGTGGCTAATAGTAAAGTCTTCATAAAGAAGCAAGAATTTACATTTTGATTGAAAAGAAAAAAATCTTAGTCTTATTTCTAGTTTATAGCCTGCACATTAATGCAAAATTAGGATCTTCAAATATCAAAGGTGGTTTTGTGTACATTTAGTTCACAGAGACATCCTGTAAAACCTACAAATTAGCTATATACCTTATTATTTATTTTACCTATGTATTTTGTCTACATATAAGATCCACTACATCCAGCACACATTGCAACACCTGGAAGACAAGAACAGCACTAAAACTGTTTTCAATGGACTCAATTCTGTACAAAGGTACATTTGCAGAAAAGAAGTAGATGTAACAGTGGCAGATTTGTTGTAGCATTTAGAGTATCTGACAAGACAGCATGCCTGTTAAATAACAAGATTTATGTACCCAGCAGATATTCAAGGCAAAACCAATGCACCTTGGACACAATGCCTTTTTGCACAAGTCCTACCACACTCACCACAAAAGTATCTAGTACTTCCCATCTGGACAGATCCCTTATTTCAAGGGATCTTGTAATGCACATAATGTAATATAATAAATAATAATTGGTTTGTATTTTTATTAATAATGCTACATAGCTTAAAGTGCCATGAAATGCAGGCCAAGGCTTCATTCTCTCTAGCCTCCTTGATGAGCTTGGAAAGCTGAGTTCATGTCTCAATCATACCTTGTAATGATTGTGTGGGTTGTGTGACCAAACACACAACCCTACTAGACACAGGAGCTAGACACACATCCCTGCTAGAGGGAGGCGCTAGCTCTACAGTGCTCTCGACAGTTTAATGAGCAAATGTTGCTGTCCCTTCAACTGTCTCATGGGCAACCCGCAGACCGCCTGGAAACAGTGTAGATTATGTGAGTTCTTGTATGTTCCAGCAACAAAGAACATTTAACAGAACAGATTAATGTACAGGACTATGAAGGACGCTCTCCACAGGGATGCTCATCTTCCTTAATCTTAAATTCTCCAAGTGATTTTCACAAACGGGTTCATCAGTCACTGGATCCAGAGCTTATATACCTAATTCCATCATGGGTCAGTACTTAGAAGGTTGCACACTTAGGACAAAATCACAGATCCTAATTAGCTCAATGCAGATGCAGCCTCAATTATCCCAGATCATGGCTGACAAAACCTGTGAGTTTCATTCCATACTTCCTAGCAGAAATTCTGTGCTCAGCCTGACACAAAATGCATGGACTTGTAGGGCTCCTTCTCTTAGGACAACAGAGCCCTACGTTTAAAAATTTTCCCAGAGAGGAAACAATGTACCTGGCTTTTCTTCAGAGAGGACAGATTCTATCTCCCCATTCCTCCCTTCTGCTCCATTACAGTTTCTCTTTCATACCTTGTCTTTTTTGACTAAGCCTGTAAGCATACGGCATTAGGCTGCTGGTCCAGGGAGACTTCAGCTCACTTTCACTTTTACCTTAACTGAAGCACACAAGCACACATATCCACCAAGCTCTTTTTTAATGATTCCCAACTCTCTTGTTGGCAGAGTATCACACAGCTGCTAAAGAAAAGATACAGGCAGATCAAATCTTTCTGTTACCCTCCTTGTGAAGTGAAAATGAACTAGACTTATCAGCATCACGCTTCCCATACAAAGCCACCTGTCAATGCACGCAAACCCTCCTAAGTTTCAGTTTCACCAAAATGCAATCAATTTTCTTCAACTCTGCTCCAACTAAGGGCACAAACATAAAAACTAAGTCTTTGAAGTAAGCTATAAAAGCTAAGTATTTGTTTTAATCCTGCTATTTGATGCATAAATCTATGCTGCAGTTATACCATTAAGTCTCTCTTCCAAGCTCCCAAGAGAGTGTAAATGTCCCAAAACAACTGCATCAGCACTGAAAGTGGGAAATTGATACTGCACCCAACTATTTCTAACCTGTCCCACAACAATTTACTACCATAACATGTTGAGATGAATCTTGAACAAAAATGTGCAATGGCACTGAGAAGACTTCAGTATTAAAAATCCACCTATCCAGTACCAGTGTGAGAAAAGAAAGACTGCAGAGCAATTACACCACAGCAGACTAATACTAATAACTGAGGTCTTCTGACAAAAAAAGAAAAGGCAAACGCTGGCTAAATGAAACACATTTGTTCATGTGTCGATTTTTCCAAATTTTTTTAAACAAGCTATTATTCAAATAAAGCTAAACAATTCCCCAAAATGGGAACTTTGTTATCTTGACTTTTCTTAACAACATTTTTAGCTATTTTTTGACAAATTATATCTCATTTAGAAATTTATTTGAATCTCATTTTAAAAGTTCAAATGTGTGACATTTCAACTTAGTCTTTACTTTTTCAGAATTGTGATCAAACCGAAAGTCAGTCATTTGCACAGCTTTATGCTATCCCTTAGCAACACAGATGGAGCAGGTGGGGAGTAGGTGGAGTAGAATATGAAAAAAGATGTCTCAATCTTTGCAGGAATGCAATATCCAAATCTTAGGTGGATGTCAAGAGAAGCTGTTTTAAGAGTGGTTGGAGGAAAGTAAAGAGGTGATGGGATAGAAGCAGTGTAACAAATACACAGTACTTCTAAAAGAGCAGACATTTGACATATCAGAAGATCAAACAACTAAACATTAGCTAGTAATTTTAAAGCTAGTAGTGAGCCACTTAATATGTTATTCTGAGTTTGGAAAGCATTAATTTTAACAAATCACACTTGGATAAGCAGGTCTTTGTTCTTAAACCAGCACAACACTAACAGTGCATTCAAGTGCCAAAGTATCCCCTGTAACTGTTGGCAAATAAATGGGCTTATATCCTTACCACGGACTAACCATATGTCATTTTGGAACTCTTAGATGAAGGCCTGAAAAGCATCGACTCGAAATCAAGAGGTCACGTTTGCTGAAATACGTGCATATAATGACTCAGTACATGATCATCACAAATTATGATATATTGGGTCCACTCTCTTCCTTCCCAGAGCAACAATAAGCAGATCGACGTATGGTAAGATGACTTACATGATGTAAGGAATTCACCAGTATGGGATAACTTCCCACAGCTCTTCCTGAGTATTTGGCATATAAACAAAAACGCAAGGGAGAATGTTTAGGTATCTTCTCCAAAGAGCTCAAAAGGTAAACTACTTGGCCAGCTAACAAGTTTTCTATACTTTTCACAACAAATGGATTAATATCTAGCTGGCTAGACCAGTTATACCACTTCCCAGATGGTGTCTTATGCAGTAAAAACCACTGTTCATTTTTTATGACTTTTTAACATCAATTCGTTTTTTGGTTTACAGAACAGAGTTCTAAAGTGTTGTTTGAATGAACTGGCTAGAAGAAGATACATAATCAATAAAGAACTTGCATATTCCTCTTTAACAAGATTGATTTTGAAGTTATCCGTATTCCATGATCAGAAGGTATTAAATTACAGGACAGAATTTCATTCCCATGGTAGTAGAAGAATCTTGAATCTTAGTCACTGAATCAATTCTGTATCACCATAAAATCTGTCAAGTGGGGGCTGTTCAGAGTGAATTCTACTACACATCTAGCAGCCAGGCTAACACCATCCCCTGCAGACAGAGGGTGGCATATAACTTTTGAGCAGCTGCTCCTTTTACAGAAATGAATCAAAGACAATGCGTTCTGGAAGTGGTGGCTCTTAGATCACTGACGCAGCATGTCAGCATTTACAGCTACAAGGCACCAAAGCATAATGTATTACTACAATGAAACTAGTGTTGGAATAGGTATAAAGGGTTAATAGACTATATAAAATACGGTTACTTCTTATGTCATCTCACCAGTGTATACATCTAACTGTTATAGAGGCATTTTCATAAATTTTGTCATAGGTTATCGGTTTTGGTTTTTTTTTTTCCTCCTGCCTCATACCTGAAAGCTACAATTGATATTTACCTAAGATATAATTAACTCCAAACACTGATGGATTTGGACATATCTTGCTCAGGAACCTAAGCAGATATACAGAGAAATTAGTCTCTGCAGGCATTTGTGAGTGCACAGTTAGAATTCTAACTGTTTAATCACCTTTGCAAAACAGTATCAATGGCTGCCTTTGGTTGTGACAGTTTCCTCATCTGCAAAGTGTCTGCTATCCACTAAGCTGATTTTAGAAGCTTCCTACTATCGTTTTTCACGTGCAAATACTTCATTCTATTGAAATGAATATTTAATGAATACTTTATTCATTTTTCAATGAATAAAAAAATCTGGCTAATTTTGGTTAATTTTTTCTGTAGCCAGCAAACCACTTCCACACTGAGGACAAGCCTTAAAGTGTTACACTATGACTACATTTAATAACGGCAGAAAGACCCTCCCCCCGAAGCTGCTTCCAAGAGAAACAGCAGGAGAACAAAAACCATTTGGAGAACCCTACGGACAAAGTAAATTAGTTTTGAAACTGTTAAAGTCATTAGCATATTCATGAATCCTGAGTATTCTACTTACTAGGTCATTCATATTTGTCTGACTGGCTGGATGAATTTCTTCCAAGAACTCCAGCACATAGAATGTGTATCTGTCCATAAGATGAACGCCAATCCCAAGATCAGGTTGATGCTTAAAAACAACACACAGCGGTTATTGGGCTTTTGCAGGAGAGAACTCAGTATTTAGGAGAGGGAACAGAATGTAATAGCATGTTACAAAAGTTAAGCATAGGTTTTTTTGTTCTTAGGCAAATTACACAAAGAAAATGACTAGCCATGAAGAAACATACTGTTGACAAGCTGAATAACACAGTTTATCTTCATTTTTCTAGACTATATCCTGGTAATCTCCATGTTTGCCAAAAAGCAGGAAATCCCTTCTTCTTAATGGGCCAGTACAGATTTGTGGGCTGCCCTGAGCTTCTTAGGATTTGGAAAACAGGGCTGGGAGACACAGCTTATCTTATAGCACTGTATGGGTTTAGGTAATCCTGACCTGCTGGTTTTGGTCTGGCTAGGACCTCTCTCCTATCACTCCTTCTGTAATTCAGCTGCGATATAATTACAGCAGGTGAGAGGTAGTGGGTATTTTTTTTTGTGTATCCTAGACTGAATATTCCCCACGCATCTCTCTCAGTAGTCTTCCCATAAAATTTCTTCCTGTCCTAGGCAATGCATAGATCGGCCAGCAAGCACAGAAATCCATCATTAGCCTTGTTCTTTGGGACAGTGCACAAAAACAAGCAGGAAAAGTATACTTACAAGTTTTGTCAAAACCACACTATGTAACTAAATACCTTACACATTCAGCAATTAGAAGGGAAATTTTTAGTTAAAAGTCAATAGGACCTGTGCTTTTATCTCAGGCATTCTGAAAATTGTCTTCAGGACCACAAAAATCTACTTACTGATAAAGAATCTTCTCCAACTTGGCTGCTAGCCAAGGCCATTATATTAGGTGAATAAAACCGTTCATACATGGATGCTCCTTGACAAGTATCAATAATAAACAACAACTCATTGTACCTGCAAGAAATAGAACAGCCTCCTTACCTGTCTCTCTTTAAATTGAAACAACATATACATACTTTGCTTTTTAGTTATCAGGACAGCTGCTAGGAACCTAAGGAACAGAAGAGTTCACACTGACTGTAAGACGCGAGTTTAGTTGAAGCAATACATTCGAGCAGCTGCAACTGCAGGAAGCGGAAAACAAAAATTAAAACTCTTCTTTTGGAATGCAAACTTTTCATGAAATTTTATGGACAACAGATAGTATCACTGCTGAAGGTAAGCAAGGCCTACCAGTAAGACTTCAGGCATGTTCGTGAAATAGAGTATTTAACCTCTAAATAATGCTTTTTTCTTACCTTCTTTTCTGCCACATTTGTTCAAAGGCATCAGCAAGTTCTACATTTGTGATTTCTTCAGAATCTTGAAATTTTAGGAAACCATTTCCACCATGGCCTGACAGAAAAATCAGAAGTTAGGCAAGTATGTAGGTTAAAGGAAGATATTCAGCCTGGTTGACCATTTTTCTAAAAAAAAAAAAAAAAAAAAAAAAAAAATCATAATTCTCTTTCTCCAGACAGACTCCAGCAAAAAAAATATTAGTACAGTAAGAACAGTACACATACATCATTTAAACTGGAAACTATACTTGCTAAGTACTGTGTACAGGTTTTTTCTTAATTAGTATGACATACTAAAAAAAGAAAAAAAACCCTTTTGTTGATCCTTTTGTCTGTTTGGACTCCTGATGGGATTTCATGCTTTCAAACAGGTCCATCCAACTGAACAACAAACATCAATAAATTGTATACAGAAACCTGTAATTACCCGTCATATATATTAGAATATTGCTTCTGTCATCAGAAAGAAGACGTTTAGATCGCGGTGTGCTTGGTGGAATTCTTCCTGTTAATACACGCAAGAAATTTTCGACAGTAACCTATGAATAGAAGGATAAAGTAATTTTCTAAAGAGAAAAATATTGATTAACAACTCTAGGCTGGGTTACATAAATTAAATAATGGAGCACTAAAATAGAGAAGGCTTCAGGGAGACCTTATTGCAGCCTATCAGTACTTAAAGAGGGCTTATAAAAAAGACGGCGGCAGACTTTTTAGCAGGGCCTGTTACGACAGGACAAGGGGGAATGGCTTTAAACTAAAGGGGGGTAGATTTAGACTAGGTATAAGGAAGAAATTTTTTACACTGAGGGTGGTGAAGCACTGACACAGGTTGCCCAGAGAGATGGTGGATGCCCCATCCCTGGAAACATTCAAGGTCAGGTTGGACGGGGCTCTGAGCAACCTGATCTGGTTGAAGATGTCCCTGCTCATTGCAGGGGGGTTGGACTAGATGACCTTTAGAGGTCCCTTCCAACCCAAACTATTCTATGATTCTAGGATTAAAATATGCAGCATATCTAACCAGATGTAATATTGCATGGTATAAACTGCATAAACAGACATTTTCTGTTAAAGGTTTTACTGCAGGTTCACAATCACATGGTACCTTTTACTTTATCCCACTAACATCAGCCTGTTACTTTATTATTTATATCCAGTAAGTCTACTACCATTATAATTTCTAAATACATTTTCATTGATCTGAAAACTTGTCAGCATATAGCTTTATTCTGCCAAAGCTGCTCATGTACTCACAAAATACGCCGACATTAGTGTGTGTTACCATGGAAAAATAAAAGTTTAAATTCCCTCTGCAACTCAGGAAAGGAAAAACAAGATCAATTTCGGTTACATAAGTCTTTGAGCGATCAGGTAAGACCCATCTGGATGGTGATTCTAAAACATCCTATCAAACACCACTTCCTCTTCATGCAGATGTACACAGCTCAAATGCTAGCAACAAATCCATACTCAGGAAAAAACATGATAAAAAGAACATCTCTCTGTTTCAGTGTTGTATCTTCACTTCTTTATACAAAGCTTCAGAGAAATAAAACATCTACTATATAGTTAAACATGTTCCTATAAACCTTTAGTAATTATTATATAGCACTATTAAACCATACAATTGATGTCCAATTTAAGATCACCTGGTAAAGACACTGTCTGTTTGAAGGAATATAACACAAAAATGGAAAGCTGATCGAATGAGATTTCTATATAGTAATTACTTTACAGTAATGATTAAGTTATGGCTTTTGTTTTATTTTGATAAAAGCATATGCTTAAGATTAGAAATTTAAGTAGGTCTCCCTAATAAACATTTCACTTGCACGCCAGAAGTTTCACAGTGGTGTTAGGTGTTTGCAGGATGAGACACTGACCAGCCATTTCCAAAGAAGAGAAATTTCAGTAATATGTGTGTATTCCTAACACATACAAGGAGTTCCATAGATTCTTTTAACTGTGGAGATTCCATTATTTAAAATAGCCAATACACAACATGTTTCTAGTTTAACAAATTTCAAATACAAAACCAAGTATCAAAGAGGGGAGTTGATAATGAAAGCCCAGCCCAGAATCAGTAATGTGAATAGAAAGATTTCCTCAGACTTCACAGATGATGTATAAATCTTTAAACCAACACTAAAACCAAAGACCCAATGATTTAATTAAAGCACAGTCACCTCGTAGCTTCTGTAATCCACTTCCACATCATCTCCATAGACGTTTAGCTCCATGTTTTTATGACTAAACACAGTAGCTGGTTTGGGATTTCTGGGATTACATGCCATATCATCTGCTAGCATCAGGACAATATGACTACGGAAAATAAGACAAAAACATTTCAGCCATTCTACTTCCACATAACAGTCAAACGGAAATTACAACAACACCGTCCCATGATTACAACAATAGCTTAACATTAAGAAGATTCCTGGAATTGTAAGTGAAACTTTGCTTAGTTATACCCTATTTCCTTATGTACATCCTCACTATTATAAAGATACCACACATGGAAATGCAGCTAGCTGTTATTTATCTACAGGATTAAGTTAGGCCAAAGAAGAGCACAAGAGTAGCTGACATGAGCAACTTTATGATACAGACTTGCCTGGACCTAGGCTGGCAGAACTCTTTATAAAAAATCCAGAGATTTTTATGGGGCACTAAATCATTTCATGCAGCTCCACAGAACAAATCACAGCCTGTTTACACCCCCTCAGACAAATCAGTTAAAAACTTTATGACAAATTTTAATTAAATTTGAGAAGCTCCTGAACATTTCTCAAACCATTATACTACATCTGATACACTACTGTATGATTACCTGTATTAATGGAATTTTCCTGAAGAACACAAGTAGGCTGACACCAGACGTTTTGTCTTCTTCATAGGACCAAGAAAAAAAACAACCCAGCATTTCATAGAACCGAGAAAAAAAAACCAGCACATTATAAAGCTGTTCCAAATTGCATGCAGCCAAAGATCTATATTTCACCTGGCAGGGTCAGGTTTGGGTCAAAATATGAAATAACAAGTAGTCACTGGAGACTGTTAGCACTAGGAAGAACGTGCCAGAGATGTCTGGAACAAGGTGAAGTCAGTCCTTTCCTTGGATAACCCTGTCTTGGATATAGTTTCTCCTGGACTGTGATCTTTGTGTTCTCCCAAACAATGCGTACAAAAGGAAAGCTCTGTATCCTGCAAAGAATGCTGCTAATTCAGACTCTCAGGCACACAGTTATAAATTAAACTGTGTCCTGCTATTTAAACACCACTCCTGTGCTTATCATCGTTCACCTATATGTCCGCATGAGCACTTTAAGAGTAAAGTTATTCTTTATTAAGCGCTGATATGGTCCACACTGTACAAAGGAAAAAAAAGGAAAAGAAAAAAAAGAAAAAGGAAAAAAAAAAGAAAAAAAGAAGAGAGAAATGCTGTCCAAAATAACATAAGCATAAATCCTTAAAAATAATCAAAGTAAATTATTTCGATGGGAATAAAATGCTGGCATAATTATGAAGCTGTAATGACAGAAGCCAGAGGAGGACAACTACAGAAGAGAAATAAAGTTTTTTTTTTTTCTCCACACATGCACAGCAGTACAAAACTATTTTTATATAAGCGTATCATTAAAAGGGAATTAGTTGGAAGCAAGTGTTGAATATATGCCTTGCAGATTTACTGAGATAGTCATGTGTACACCCATTTTTTTTGTATTACAGTCAGAAGATAATATTTCAGACTAAGCCACCACTAGGCCTACAGTTTAGCACTGTATTTTTGCTAGGAATGTGTCTATTAAAAAAAAGAATTAAGAATCACACATCACTCAGTAAAAGGTCCTGCATAGTAATAGTACAGACAGGTGAGCACAAACATGCAAAGTTTGTATACTGTATGGCATTCTCAAAAGCACATGAAATATCCCACGGTTAAACAGAACCGTGGTGTACAAGTGGTTCATACATGCAGCAAAACAATCTAGGTGTTAACTTGCAGCTTAAGTGTTAAACCAAAGTAATCTAACCATATATCACATTAATGCTATTTTCACGATGTAAAACTTATACTGTATAATGATTCCACAAATTAGAAAGAATTTCTGAATTCATTTTGGCTTTGCTTTATTTTAGCAAAACTTTTCTTTTACAAATTGGAGCATTGTGCCCACATGTCAACAAACCAGAGCAACTTACAGTTATAAAACCACAAATCATTTTATTAATGAGTTCTGTTGTTGGACGACACATCTATTTAAACCACCAAATTGACACAGTTCCATTCAAAATTAGGCTATGCACAAACACCTCCAAAAAAACCCAACCCCAAGAATCGTGATAAATGTTTATTTTTAAGATGTGATTTTGGGGTGTTTTTTTTAAGTCTTATCAATATTTTGAATGAAGTCTTGCAGCAAAGAAAGAAAAGCTTGTTTAAGGGAGAAACCCACTCAAATCCATGTAAAAATTGCTGCAAATGGGAAAAAATAGGTGCGCTCGCTCTCTAGGTCTTCTCCAATGTCTTATTCTTGACCTCAGTCTAAAGCATTGCTGGCTTTTTGAGATTCATTTCCAGATCCTTGCGTATGGATAAGAAACGGATCAGACTACTGAACAACAGAAATCTCCAGCCATGCTGTAGTTTTTGCAGTATTTCTAAAACTGCTATCTATTTTGACATTAATAGTGAAAATGGATGGATGCAGAGAAGAAAGTCCTTGGGTAAGAGTAGAACTAGGGAAAGAATTTCTAAGGTAGTGCCTAGGGCACCTATGCTTCAAAAGCTATACAGGAGATAAGACAGATGCTTCTGAATGAGATGTGCAAAAAAAAAAATGCCATATTTCTGTGGCTTTTAGCCCACAGTGCTTAGGCAGTACGTTCCCTTGGATTTATAGCCCCCAAATGCTTCCAAAAACTAGGTTTCAACATCCCCTCTTTCAAAAACCGAGATGTCACTCTTTTTAAAAATAAACACAGGAAACAGGACGATACTGCCATTGCATTCACAGTTGAGTGGAAGCTAAGTGGAGACTCCAGATACTACAGTTTTGGATTTGGACAAAAAAACGCCATACAAATTTGATCCAGTGGAATATGCATTTTGCAATGACAAAGCAGGCCATACCTCTTTAGGCAGACATGCTGGAAGAACTATCAGTCCCCTAAACTAACATTAAAAACCAGGACCACCAGGATTTCCATAGGAGCCTATGGATACCTATAACCTATTATTCAATGGATGTTGGTGCCTAAAATTTGCTTCCACAGTTCTGGTACAAGTAAATTGCATTCCAAAACAGCTGGATGGAACTGTGCCAGTACCCCTAGAACTTCCAGTAGGAACACAACTAAAAGACACTTCAGAACAGTTTGTTCACCTTCCTAATACTGTTGTCAGAGAAGGGATACTATTTTAACCATTGTGCTATCGCTAGAGAAACACAATTTGTATGGACAAAGCTTCTGGTTTCTCTAAAAACATCATGCAAAATGCATTTTTCAAGGCTACTTTCAATATGTAAGAGCTGCTTTGTTCAGGGCCTTTAGCTTAGAGACTCTCAGCGTAGCTGCAGATGTGGAAGTCTTACATTTTAGTACAGTTAGGGTTGCTAACATGTCCACACTGAAAGGAAATTAAACTACAGCAAAAGCCGTATCTCAGAGTAGTATTGTCATTGCTGAATGCATTTATCAATTTTCACATTACGCTTTCACCAATCTACTAAGTGGTACATTTTAGTGGCCAGATAGCTCCTCATGTTTTTAATCTAATTAGCCTATTCCAACTGGAAGTTTTATTATATAACTTGTTGCTTTTCCTTTTGAACAACATTGCTGCACTTTTCAATACACTGATGTGATCACATCCTTCCTTTTTACTTTTATGCAGTTAAACTGGGGAGAGAAATGTATTTTTATACTGCTTCAGACAACAAGAGAACTTTAATAGCACATTTGCAAGGAATTGTATTCACCTAGATTTCCTCACCTATCAGGAATGCCCAGTCTCTTGACACTTCTGTATACTGAAAGAGTATTTGCCACATGACGATAATTAAACCAGAATCGAGATGTACACACCTTGAATTTTTAAGGAAAAAAAAAAGCATATTAAATAGTGTAAAAGATATAAATGGGCCTGGCACATTGCATCAGAAGACCACGATTACGGGAGTACCAACAAACTAGTAACAAATCAGAAAGAACATAGGAACACCAAGAAACTCGTGATATAAGCTTATATAAATCTTTGTTGTACCAAAGCAACAAATGCCGAAAATGAAAGTTTAAAAAAAAAAGTTCTTAACATGAAAAAATTGTCATAAAACCCAACTAAGTATAGAAAGTGGCACTTTAGGGAATAATTCAGCAATAGTAAGTGGATAAGCTAAATTTTTTTCATTTGCTTTCTCCATATCAAAAGGAAGAAAAATCAACGGAAGAGTTCTCATCTCAATAGCAAACCCATTCTGGGAGCATTCTTGCACAAAGGCATAAGTGAATTCATGCAGAAGCCACACACAAGGGAAAATACACTGAGGACATTTGCATTTGAGGAGTCAAATATAATAAAGAAAGAGCTAAGTGAGCTCTAACCAAAATCTGAATACAAATTCTCAGAAATCTCAAAGGAGTTCAGGTTCTACTGTTTTAACAGGCACAGGGTTGGGGATCAGCCATTCCTGTACTTAAACTATTCCCTAGGTCAGATATTACTTAATCCGTCCTCAAAAACCTCAAACCAATGAGATTTCAAAAACCTTAAGAAGCAATCTGCTGTAGTCTCTTAGTAGCCTTACCATTGTCCTTGTGTTTAACTTAAGTTCACTACTTTTTGTTTGTTCCGCACCAAGGACAGCAATTGTCCTTTGGAGACAAATTTCCTTCACTTTTACAAGTCTTTCGAACAGACAAAGGAAGCAGCATTTAGAAGAGGTGACTTTAAAACCACAAAAACAGAGAAGCAGGAATGAGCATTTAAGAAAGTTTTTTAATTTTTCAGCTTTAAATGTACAGCTCTAATTTAAATAGAGACATCTTTAAATAAAGTTACATGATGTAACATCTTTTTCTTTACCCTTTCCATAAAAAGAAATGAGTAGTAGCTTAAATAATAATAAAAATTCAGCCTGAAAGGATCCCCTTGAGTCTCGATCATCCCGTCAGTTAGAAATTTAAAAAAAGCCCACAGGAATCAGTCCATGAGAACATTTGCCTTCCAGCAAGATTTAAAGCTCTGAAAACTAACTGTGGCCAATCTAGCGGTGACATTTCAAGATATTATCATCTGCCCCTTTCCTCCATTAGTGCCCTTACAACACAGTGGAAAATGTGTCTATGCTTTAAATATAGCTATTCACACTGCAGCATATTAATTCAAACTACTGATGAGGTGGGACTGCAATACAATCCCAGGCTTGAAGTGCTTAATAGCAGTAAAACCCTCCCTATTTTACTACTTAAAGAATTAGTAGCAGTTGTTATAAAGCTTAATCATGAACTACTGAAAAAATACAACCAGCAGAGAATCTGTTGAGGACAGAAAGTATAGCTCCTTGGACCTAATTTTCCACTTTCTTTGTGTGTTTTTATGGGTACTAATAAAAGCACCTATTTGTTAATAGTATTAAAGTACTACTTGATGGTTTAATAGTTTCGAGTTTGTACATTGTAGAATATAGAAATTATTCCTTCTAATTCAATTAATTACCGTTAACTTTCCTTTTATATTGCTCAATTTTAGTATCTGGAAAACAAACAGCTGCTACTGAGTAATTACAATAGCATGCTGAAACAAATGAGTCATTAAGACCTGAATTGTGATTAAGAACCAATTGTGTAGCATGATTCAAAGCTAATAAAAGATTCATGGCAAAGAAAAAAAAAAATCTAGGATAAGAACAGTTGATCTAAACATTATGTTGCCTGAATTTATTTTATTCTAAGCCTGTTATCACAAGTTAACAGATTGAGCAAGAAGAAAAATCAGAAATAAATTGTACCTTTCTGGTCAAAGAGCTATACTTCTCTGATATCAGAATTACACTTTTGTTCAATATGCAGTATGGTAATTTAACTGTTTTAATGCTGTCAGAACTTTTGTTTTATGAATCCTGCCATGTAGCTAGATGTTTTGAGTGCTTGAAATGCAGTCACACTGAGAAGATAATTTTATTATAGTATAATAAATTTGCAGGCACAATTTCAAATTTATTCATTTCCAAGTCTTTATCTTTCCATTTCTTTCAAATGAGCAGAATTCTTGAGTGACTGTTGCAATTATGGCTCCCTATGAAAAATTGTCAACTTTACTGGAAGAAAACAACCTGGACCACACTTACCAAAACCGCCCAGTTATTTGTATGTCCACTTCTAAAGAACTGTTCTGCTTGATCCTGAAAGACGGAGAAAGAAATGCCCACTCATATTTTTGTTGTTTCCACAAAAGTGTTCAATGCATATGTTTACCACAGCTTAACACTGAATAAACCTTACAAAAGCTTCAAGAGAGGTAGTTTTTCTTATTCTGTTTTACACATTTCATGCAAGCTAATTGCTCCAAATCTTTCCCTGAAAATTGCTAAATAACAAAGGAGAAAGAACTATTAGTCACTTTTAGCTTAGTTAAAACAAAAAGCCCACACATTTCTATTCCAAAGGACACTCCAAGAACAAAATAAAACGATTTATTGACCTATAGTTTCTTCCTTAATGAGAAAAGGGGCTTGGATTAATTTCTATTTTCATTGTTGCTCTCATCTTTTCAAAAGCAAGTAAGTGAATCTGCAATTTTAACCCATTCTAAATCCAAGGTGGTTACATTTATCTTCCAAAACAAGGAGCTATGACAACAACAACCTTCTCTATAGTCTGTGTAACCTTCTCTATAGTCTGTGTTATCCATAGTTCCCACCATGCTTTGCAGAGGAGAGGGCCCTTTTTCTTTAACAGATAGCATAAATCAGGACACAGAAAGGGGATAAGGCTTTCAGGAGGTAAGGGAACGAGTCTGTCAGAGGCCAAGAATCCAGACTTGCTGACTCTTAATCAGACTCTGTTAACTCTCGGAGGGGTACTGGGCTGATGCCTGTGGTCTCACACAAAACACACAGTAACAGAAAAAGTGCTTGTTAAAATATATGTAAAGCATACTGTACTTCAAGTAGCAAACAATTTGCAGTTTAATTAGTAATCTAAAGACTCTGTAAAAATATTTCTACTATTTTTTGTCCTATTTGTAATAATATACATATATATAGTGATATACTAATATATATATAATAATATACTAATTTCAAGTATAACAATTTGTTAATAAAGCAGAATTCAAACGCAACCACCACTCCAGATGTAGCGTGGGCACTGTGCAAAATGCATAATTACTGAAATACGAAAGTACTCCCGCTTGAAAAAAAATATTAGCTCCTTCCGTGTGTAAATGTCCCAGACCTGCGAGCAGGGCAGACGGCGCTCAGGCGCTCAAGCCCAGGTGAGCCCGGGCAGCTCGACCGCCAGTGAAACCACCCAACACCCCGGCCCTGGTTTTTAACCGAAGAAACTCTCTTCGCACATAACTTCGCCAGCAAATGGTCGGAAAAGGAACACAGAACACCGACTACCGAAGGGTGCACCGCGCAGCCGAAGAGAGACCGCGTTTCAGAAACCCGCAAGCGTATTAAAAGACAGTTGGGGTTTTTTTAACTTTAAACAGTTTAAACAAGGTACACGTGCCTGACAAGCCCCGTTGTCTCTGGGACGTACTGCGTTACAGCTTACAAAACACTAAATCCCCGCGGCCGGGTGGGGAGCCGCCGGCAG